AAAAGGCAGGCGGGGGAGCTGCCTCGCCAGTTCGCTATCTCATCGTTAGCCCCAGTGGGCAAGGCGGGAGCTGCTGCGCAGGGCAGGGGTCGCAGCCCGCGGACACGCGGATCGCGACACGGGTGCCCCGGTCCCTCCGGCACCTGCCCCGCGCGAGCGCCGGGCGCGGCGGGACCCGCTCCGCGCGGCGGGTCGGGGCTGGGACGGGGCTCGCCGCGGCCGAGCATCGGCCGGGACGGGGCTCCCGGGGCGGGACGGGACGGCAGGGCGGCGCGGGCAGCTCTTACCTCCCGCTGCAGCGACGAGGCTCCGCGGCGGCGGCTCCGTGCGCGCCCCGTGCCCGGCAGCCGCGCAGCGCCGGGGCCGCCAGCGCAGCCGCTCCGCCCCCGGCCGGACCCCTCCTCCGCCCCCGGCCCGCCCCGCTCCGCTCCGCTCCGCCCGCCCGGGCCGCCGCTGCGCCGGGACGGGGCCCGCAGCCCGCGCGCCGCCCTGCCAAGAGCCCGGCTGTGCCCGGCACCTCTGCCCGCTCAGGAGCCGCAGCTGCGCGGGACAGCCTCAGGAGAGCGTGAGGATGCGCGCAGGGAGTCTCTCCCGCTGCTCCTGCTATCTGGAAACCGGGATCCTGAGTGCAACCTGTGTGAGGCACGAGGAACCGCCCCTGCACGAGCTCGAGTTGTCCCTCTCCCAGGAAATCGCAGCTCTGCTGCTCACAGAAGTACCTGCTGGGGTGGAGGGAAAGAAGCTTAGGGAGGAAAAATGACTTGGGAGCGCTCTGTGTKTCAGGACCAGTCCGTGCTTCTGGAGTAAGGGAGTCAGGCAGGGGGACGCTGCACTCATGAGCAAGAACAAAGCTGGCACTGAAGAACATGCAGTCCTGTGACCTCCATCCTGGCTGCTGTTCCATACAGAAACACTCCCGTGCTGATACCAAAACCTCTAAAGCTATAGAAGTGTGTGCATGGGGGGAGCCCAGACAGTCAAAGTTCAYTAGGAAAGAAAAAAGATGCAACAAGAATGCCTGACAGCGCAGTGGACCAGAGAGAAAGCCAGGCTGGCACTAAGGTATCTCTGCTAACGCCTCATGTGTGTGCTAATGAATGGCTCCAAGGCTGCCCAGGTGCAGGTATTTGTTGGCAATGGCTTTCTTCTTTTCCTAATGAGGTACAGAAATAGGAAGATATACACAGAACTGAGTACTTACGGCCTCAGATCCATTCCTGTGTAATAGGAAAGCTAGATTACAAAGCCAGAGCGTATTTGCAACGTACGTTTCCTTATTGCCTGTGGCTTGAGACAGGCCATCGTTTTAAGGATCTGATATTTCCTCGTGACACTTGGGCCCGTGTTTTTCCATTTCTCTTTCACTATTCATTTATTTTCGTCACAGCACAAACCTGCCTTTCCCCGGTCTCTGTGGCACAGAGTGCAGGATTTCCATTACTTCATTAGACACAGTTTAACTCCAGGTAACAGCCTCATTCCTCCTTTGCAAGGGACTGAGAGCCCCGTCCTCCCGGCGGCTGCTTGTGCTGCCCCTCGAGCAGCCCATCGTGGCCCTTGGGCAGAGATCACAGAGTCACAGAATCCTTCATGTTGGAAGGGACCTTTAGAGATCGTCTAGTCCATCCCCCCTGCATATCACATCTGTGCTTCCCACATCCCATGCCTCTCCCCTGCACTACAGCAGAAAAACGCACAGGGCAATGCATCCAAAGGCTTATATATGTTTTGTGTTTGCCATCCTGGTCCGATAAAACTGTGTTTTTTAAATGAACAAAAGTCAACTATCTGTGACCTGGGCTCTCCAGCCCTCCCCATGCTTGCACAGACACAATGCTCCTCTCACAAGCTCAGCCGTGCGATTTAAGGGCCGCGGCTGAAAAGGGCCTTCCCGCGCTTGCCCTGCCATGAAGGGGCCGCTTTGTGAGTCTCTAGCTAGCACCGAGTTCAGTTTTGCATTAGAAGCAGCGATTTACCCGCTCCAGGATACACAAAGGATACAGTCTATCCTCTGTGGACTTAAAACATAACATCAGTCTTAGATAAAAACCCAGTTTTGCTATGCATGCAAGAGGGGTGTCCTATCTGTTTTTTGCATAGAAATGATAAATTGCCAAAATGAACCTACCAAGGAAATAGTTTAATCCCAGCCCAAAACGCTAAAGCTACTTTCTCCTGGCCCTTCCAGGAGTGCTTAGAGCCAGAGCTCTCCCTGCTGTCCAAAGGGCTCGTCCCTCGAGTGCTGCGTTACACCAACAGCCTCTCCCTCTACCCTGCCGAGGTGCTGCAGTTTGCAGGGCAGAAACTGCAATGCTGGAAGCAGATAAACAAAACGGGAAAGGTTCCTCACTCGTGCAACTGTAGGGATTTCAAGAGAGTTACATCAGGCCTGAGTTTAGCTCCTTCCAGCTACCCCAGCGCTCAGAAACCCCTTCCTGCCTGTGCTTCGTGCCTCGGTTCCCAACCTCCCCACTTCCTTTCCGCTTCCTTCCTTGCCCTCCCCGCCTTCCCTCCCACTTCCTTTGCCTTCAGACTTCTCCCTCTCTTTTCCTGCCGCTTGCTGCCCGCGGTTGCGCTGACGCCTTGCCCAGCTCATAGCACGGGTGCACACAAAGAAGCCACCCCAGCGCCATGGTGGGGTGCCCACATGTGGGGCAGGGGCCCACGGCCAGGAGCCCCCTGTTCTCCTTGAGCTGCTGCCCTTGAGCGTTCTCCTTGAGCGTCTGCTCTCGCACGGCACCGGCAGCCCGGGGAAGCGGCGCCGGGGCTGCGTCCAGCTTCAGCCGTAAAACCATAATTAAAACCTCGCCAGGGTGATTTTCAACCCAGTTTTGCTTTCCCGGGCTCCAGTGGGAAAACTGAAGCTAGAATGTTTATGGTTTGATTTCTTTCTCAATATCTGCATTTCTCAATCCTTTTATCCAAGCAACAACTAGCGCCTTGGAGGGAAAAGCAGTATCTCAGAGCCTTCTGCGCAGCTTTGGCATGGCATTTTTTTTTTTGTTTAACCGAGAATTAAGCTGCATCTTGAGTGTCCATTTACAGATTTTTTTTTCCCCATTTCTTTTCATATTTWCTTGCTCACAAGTGAACATACAGGTATGTTTCTCTCAGGGAAAAAAAGAAAGATCTGTTTAGTGGGCACTTCCCATACAACCTTCCTATGTGTCCCAAACCACTGGCTTGCAGACCGCAGGGTGGGAAGCACCTTCTAGGGCCAAGGGCTCCTGTTAGGACTAGCCAGTCCCTGAGCAACGCTTAAAGCTTAGTAACATGCTCAAATAGATCGACATATTCTTGCTAAATGCTTTTCTGCCCCTGCCAGCCTGGCCCCCATTGCTTTGAAATTGCAAGATTAAACAAAAGAACCAGCAGTGGGGCCTAAAACYAAATCTCCAGAGGCAACGATTGAAYGTACCCTTGGACTCTACCCAGAAAAAGCTCAATTAAGAGACTTCCTTATAATAATTTTAATATTCAGCATTGAAGGGATATTTTTAAAGCAAAACGAACATATTTAGGATGATAAGCTTGTCTCCATCATTAGCAAAACATAAAGCCATATGTCATTTAACAGGGAAAGAAAAGGAAAATATCCTTTTCAAAATTTGTTGCTTGTTTTTTTCCTAAAGTAGCGTTACACCAAATCCCCACAATTTCCAACCATGCCTCCTTTGAGAAAGTCCTCTCAATGTTCCTATTTCCTGCGAAGTTTGCACTGAGGTTGTGCTGGACCTCACCGGCGTCGCAGGGCAACAAGCTGGGCCGGTGCCCCCGCGCTCTCGTTAGTCCTTTCCACCGTGAAGGATGAGCAAAACGGAGGGCCCCACTGCACCAGACCCTCCGCAGAGCCGGAAAACAGATAGTCCCTGTTCTCTGCACTTCTGGATCCGCGAGGAGAGCGGAGCCCGGTGAGACAGTTATCCCCCCTTGCAAACAGGAAATTGAGGCACAACGAACAAAGCATGAAGAAATACCAGAGCTCTGTGGCAGATCCAGGACATGTGCTGGGAGACCCTGGGCAAGTCCCTTACTCATCTCAACGTCTCTCCTCAAACGCTTTGATGCTTCTTGGCATTCACATTTCTCTTCTAACGCTAGGGGAGGAGGCTCAAATGCAGTTTTAAAACTCAAGCTGACACTAAAATCCTGCAGCTAATTTTATTTTCATATGATTTTATAAAACACCTTTCCCCGGAAAGAAAAAGAAAGAAAAAAGAAAAGAGAGAAAGAAAGCCAACAAACATAACCTCACAATTTATTGCTCCTTGAGATGTTCCAATTAAATAACACTTTATTCGACAGCTAAGATTTCTCCATGCCTTTTCTGACAAAGAAAATGTACATCGTTCAGGATTACCTATAGAGAAAAACAAGAACTGCCAAGGGGCAGCTGAAAGTGGTGAAAACTTCACTTCTGACAGCAGCAGTTAGATGGTCACACTGCAATTTGTTTCAACACAGCCAGTTGTGTTGCCATAACTTGTTAAACATCTGCTAAAAACATATGGAATTCCCCTGGGGGACGTAAATTGATACCATTCATCAAACTATTTCACAGCTTCCCTTCTCCTCTACTGACTCCTTCCAAAACAGCCAAGTGAAGCAAAGGATCCCAATACCTTTATGTACAGAGGGGTCCCTCTGTACAAGAGCTCCCCTTGCACCTGGGAGAAGGGGCTGTCCAGGCATCATCTTGTGAAGCACTGGCTGGTAATGGAGATAAGCAAAACTGCAAGTCACTGGAACCCAAAGTCACCGCTCCTGAGTGAAAGGAGGGATCTAGCTGTCACCCAGCAAAAGCATTCCCCTTCAGCAGAAACCTCTTTGCTCTATGTGGGCACTACCAGGTTAACGGAGAGGCTGCTGTCACATGTGACTTCTAGCAGAGAAGGACCTAAAGTCTTTCTGGTGTCACACAAAACGCATTTTTATTAAATTGAGACAGTCCAAGCCCTGGGGCAATCGCTGATGCTGATGTACAAATGATCACAAGTCTGTAAAAGGCCACCACAGGGTCAGTGACTGAGAACATTACAACTGGCACAGTGCAGATGTTCTCCGGATATCAGAAGAGACACAACCAAAACCACACAAGTTTCACTTATTTTTCCTTAGTTTTGAAAGTCTCCCTGTGAATAAAGACAGTTCTGCTCTTCTGYCYACCACTTACATTCACATGTAAGTGAAGAGGGCACCTRTGCTGGGTATGGACACTGAGAGGTTGCCAAATGCTGTCCAGGSAGGGTGAGGCAGACTTTACGCTAGGTTCAGCTCAGTGAGTTTTAAAAGTGTAAGAATAAAATGAGCAGTCCTTGTGAATCCTTCATCAGATTA